CTTGGAGTTTCATTATTGGCTTGGTGGGTGGCTTAGCGGACGCACAGACTTCTTTTCCCATCCATTACATCCCCTCCTACTTTTGAGTTGAATGATCCATATTCACCAGGTTGAGCCTGCCATTTTATGAAGCTTCAGTCCTCATTCTAGGCTAGTGTTCTTTCAACACACACTCTTTGAACTCAAAGCTTCTAGGTTCCAGGGAGAGATAGATGAACACAGATCCTGCATTTGGGAGTTCACTGTAGAGAGAAGGAATCAGACGTGGAGGCACATTATTAGAGTGGGTAGTGAGTTTGATAAAAGAAGTATGTACTCCTCCAAATAGAAGCACTGAAATGCAAAGTTCTAGAAGGCTTGGGTGGGGGGTGGCATTTGAGATCAATCTTAAGGGTGAGTTAACCAGGCAGAGAAGGGGAGGGGAGTCAGTCTGCGAGGGAGAACCAGGGGTATTCTGGGAACTGTAATGGAGCACAGGAGTTCAGCGCATGGGCCAGAACACCCCCTCCTCCCCCCATGGATTCCCTGTGTGACCTTGAGCAATGTTTTTTAACATCTCTGAACCTAATTTCCTCATCTATAAAATGAGGCTAAATACAGTGGTTTTGTCATAGGGTCATTGTGAGGATTAAATGAATTAGTGCATGGTAAGGTCTTGGAAGAGTATAGAAAGTGCTCAGTATTAGCTGTTGCTATTATCATCAGGCTGTATGTTACCCAGAGGTGTTATAGGAGGGAGACTCAGAGGTGGAGGCACAGGAGAGATGGTGAAGGGCCTTCTGTACCCTACCAAGGAGTTTGAACTTTATTTGTAGATTGTGGACAGCTTATTGAAGGATTTAAGGAGGGGTTGACTTTCTTGTTCCTGGAGAACCTCCAACTGTAGGTCTGGAGTCACCAGCATCCTGTAGGTCTGGTAGCTCCCTCTAGTGGTAGTGTGGAGAATACAGTGGGAGAGGAAAGGAAGGGGGAGACCCTGGGATCATGCAAGAGTGTCACTGCCTTAGGTTAGGTCCTTATTTCAAGGGAGTGAAGAGAGGGGGACAGATGAGAACTATTTAGAAAATCAAAGGTGGAGACGTTAAGGACTACATCTGTGTGGAAGATGATGAAAGAATGGCATCAAGGATAGCTCCCAAGTGTCAGACCTTTCTGTTCCTTAATCACAGTAAACTCATTTCAGCCTCAGGGCCTTTGCATTTGCTGTTTCTGTGGCCTGGAACATTTTTTCTCTCAGATATTTAAGTGGCTCTTTTATATCATTTGGTTTCAGTTCAGATGCCACCTCGTCAATTAGCTGTCCCCCAGCCCTTGCCTGGGCACTCTCAAGGTGGTAGCCCTGTTTTAATTTCTTTCATAACACTTATCTGAATTGATCGGGTTTGTTTGTTTGTGTATTATCTGAAAATATAAACCCCATGAAAGCAGGGACCTTTTCATGTTCACAGTTTTGTCCCCAGGGCCTGGCACATAGTGGGTGCTCAGTACAAATTTGCTGCATAAATGAATACAAGAATAGAAGGTTAGATGGCTTGGGTGACAAGGTGGTCTCTCACAGATGAGGTTTATATATGGGGTAACTAAGTAGTGGTACTTTAACTGAGTTTCAAAAAGCAGACAGAAGAATAGGTGTCAGGAAAGGGACAACCAAATACCAGGAGAGCCCCAGACGATGTCAATCTGTATGCAGTTGGGTATTGGGTAATTAGGACACTGCATCAAAGGCTCTCATATTCTCCAAGAGTGTGCCAAGTGGGAAGATGTCAGAGAGAGATATCTCAGTTGGACCTGGCCTGACTATCGAACTTCCTGCTGGGGTCCTGTTTCAGAAAGACTCCTCTGTTCTTGGCTCACCAGGGATGAATGATCAAGCCCTTTCTGCACCCCTTTTCCTGCTGTCCTTACACTCTCAGAGGCCCTTTCCCCACTGTAGAACATTCTCCAGAGTTCTGTGCACAGGCCACTCAACGAGTGGGATTCCAGATCTTTACCAGAGAGTGACAATACAAACATGAAGATAGTCATTCTCTGGGGAAGGGCAGCAGCTCTGGAAAAGGAGCCACCAGAGAACTCTGGGAACTTCTAGCCTCTTCTAGGGAGTGGGAGGGTTGGAGGGAAGGTCTTATAGCCCTGGGGGCAGTGAGGTGGGAGATAGTCCAGGGCCAGAGGCCATAGTCAACTCCCCCCTTATTTAGGATGCAGCAGAGGCTGGAGCCAGGTCTGGCTATCGGGGCCGTCGGTCCCCTCACACTCCACACGAACGCTTCGATGGGCTCACGGTGCTCAAGGCTGCACAGGTGAGAGAGGAAGCACTCATGCCCTGGTCTGATGCCCAGAACTGGAGAAGAGGGCATGCAGGAGGCTGGATATATGGGCTTGGGCTTCTGTGGAGGGCTCTCCTGGTATTGAGAGTCCTTGAGTCCTCTGGCCAGGGTTGAGGAGGGGGTTGTTCTGAGACCTAGGGGCCTGGGATGTTGTAATGGAGCTAGTTGGGACTGATGGACAGAGCTGGCTGCTGAGAGACTCCAAACCCACCCTTCCGTCGTCTCTCTCTTTTCTTGCCCTTTCTTCCACTGCCTGCAGCTCGCCCGGGCTGGGGCTGTGGGCACTCAGGGCGCCAAACTGCTTCTGGAGGTGAGCGAGCGTGTGCGGACCTTGACTCAGGCCTACTTCTCCCCGGAGAGGCCCCTGCATCTCTCCTTCACCCACCTGGTGTGCCGAAGTGCCGTTGAAGGTAGCCACTAAGACCGTGCTTCTCCTCCCCAACCTCGGGCTCCTATGGGGCACTGCACACCCTCAGCATCCCCAAACTGTGTGGGTTCATCTTCACACCTGAAAGACTCTGACTCCCTTTCCCAGGTGGGGGCCTGGCCTCTGTGCCCAGCTATGACCCCCGAGCTGCAGGGTGGGTGTGGATGGTGGTGGATGGGCATGGGGACACAGAGGCATTCACCAGGACGCTTTGCTTCCTAGGGGAGCAAGAGCAGCGCATGGACCTGAGTCACCCGGTCCATGCCGACAATTGCGTCCTGGACCCTGACACGGGAGAGTGCTGGCGGGAGCCCCCAGCCTACACCTATCGAGATTATAGGTGGGTAGCCCCTCCAGGGGTCAGGTAGGTGGGCCTGGGTTGGGATCTTACTGCCTTCTGTCTTCCTCTCCCAGTGGACTCCTCTACCTCAACGATGACTTCCAGGGTGGGGACTTGTTCTTCACAGAGCCCAATGCCCTCACCGTCAGGGTAAGTGGGGTAGGGAGGTGGGATGGGGGTTGGGACAGGGAGCCCAGCTGTGGGCTCAGGATTCAAAACAGAAGGTTCCCAGAGGCAAATGCAGGGAAATGGCTGGGGCCACCTTAACCCGTTCCTTTCCTGGCCTCCCCAGCCCTCTCCACCAATTGTCTGGGTTTAGAGGCTCTCCTAGCAGAGATTGACTATGCCCCCCAGGAGATTTCAAAGTGGCCCCTCCAGACCCTGCCTTCAGTGTTTGCCTCATCTAAAGAAGGGTGGGTGAGAACAGGACCTGAAGTCCCTATTCCAGGTAGAAACTCGGGGCTGGAATTGGGTAGAAGAGGGGCAGTGATTTCTCATTGTCTTCTGCTCTGTCTCACCCAACTACCTCCTTCTCTGCTTATCACCATCGGCTACCTGTAATCCAAGCCCTATTTGGGGTGGAAAAATGTCCCCAAGATCATTATGCCCGGTATCCAGATTCTGGTCCTGCACGCATTTCCTCAGATTGTTTCACACCCAGTTCAAAGGATTAGATGGGAAAAGTCAGAGCATGGGGTTGGGGTAGGGGATGGAACCATTAGAAGCCCCTTGATGGATGCACATTTTCCCTTTGGCTCCAGCTCCTCTGGCCTCAGTCTGGCATTTGTGCTCCCCAAGTGGAGGCCAATTTCCCATTTCCTCCACGATGGTCCCTGAATTCAGGAGTGGGAAGTGATGGACAAGAGAGCTGACCTTTCAGTGCCCCCTTCTCCATTCTGCTCTGGGAGTCAGGGCCAAGTTCTCTGCGGGCCTGTCCTTGGAGCTGAACCTGCCCCCATCCCTCAGGCTCAGGTTCGTCCTCGCTGCGGGCGCCTGGTGGCCTTCAGCTCCGGTGGGGAGAATCCCCATGGTGTGTGGGCCGTGACGCGGGGCCGGCGCTGTGCCCTGGCCCTGTGGCACACGTGGGCGCCTGAACACAGGGAGCAGGTGAGGAGGAGCAGGAATAGGAAGGGATGTCTTCCCCTAGTGTATGGAGCGTGGGTAGGCTGGTGGGTGAGGGGCCGGGGTTGAGATGACCCAGGAAGGGTCCTTGGGGCAGGGTGGATGCGGGGATTGGGCCAGACGTCCTCCTAACCTCCCAGGAGTGGACAGAAGCCAAAGAGCTGCTTCAGGAGCCAGAGGAAAAGGAGGACAAGAAGGAGGAGAAAGAAATGCCCAGAAGAGACTCTTCCCCAGAACCCCCGAGCCACAGACTTCAGCGGGTCCAGGACAAGTCTGGGAGGCCGCCTCGGGTCCGAGAGGAGCTGTGAGGGGCTGAGCCAGCTCCTTGGGGACGTGGCCACTTGACTTATAAAGGGCTGCCTTGATGCCAGGGCCCACAAGAAGCCCCCATTGGACAGGAGCAGAACAGTGAGCTCTCTGTCCCTGTACCCCTACCATTTTGGGGATCACAAGTGCCATCCAGCCCTGGTCTCAGAGGACACTGCATAGACCAGCCTAGAGCTCACCAGGTTTGGGGAGCCAGGCTTGGCCCCAGCTGATGGACCTCTGGCCCGAGGACAGACAGAAGACACGATACCTCCCTGGAAGGAGATGGCAGGGGGTAGGGCCTGACTGCTTCAAATGAGGAGGAGAGGGAAGAATAACCCCCACCGCCTTCTCCCAGCCGGTCAATAAAGAAAGCGAAGATCCCTCAGCCAGGGCCTGTCAAGTGTATCAGTTTCTGTGGCGGTTGGAGGTGGGAGTGGCTGTGGCTGGCCTGGGAGGAGACAGGTGTCTTCTGGCCTCCCAGAGGCAGAGCCACTCAAGCCTGTGATTTGTCAGGGAAATCTCGGCCACCTGCTCCCCTCATGCAAATGAACCCAACCCCTGACAGCTGCTCCTTGGGCCTCCTACTCTAAGCCCTATGTTCCCTCTGAGCTTGGCCAAGACTTAGGAAGCCTGATCCTTCTGACTCCTGCCTTCACAACCCCAACAGAACCCCGTGAGTCGTGGGGGCAAGGAGTGGGCCAAACCCGATGGGAGCAAGGAATTGGGTTGCCCTCTACTTGCAATCCTTTCTCCACCCAGAGCAGGGGCAGGCCTGTCCATCCTTCTCTCTGAATCCCCTGTACTTCTCCTCCCTCTATTCCCCCCCCCACCCCCATCAGACCCTGGGGCAGCTGGTTGGGGTTTGTTGGGAAGAAGGATTATCCAGATCAGTCCCTTCTAATCTCAGCCCAGCCTGTACCCTCCCTGTATTCACCAGAACCCTCCTTCCCCACCATCCTGAGCTAAGGAACACAGTTTTGGGTATTGACAATGGGCCATCTCTCACTCTCATATTCTGGCTCTTGGCCTGGTTGCTAGGTAAGCCCTGACTGCCAAGATCATCACCACTGGTGGGGGCCAGGGCCTGAGGGGGCTGCTGGAGCTATAGTGTCTACAGCTCCTTTGCGTCCTCCCCATCCCCATCCCTTAATCCTCACAGCTTTGCTCTAATCCCATGGGGCCTGATGCTCTTCTCTCTGCCTGCAGAGAGACCTAGCAGGGAAGCACCCCTTCTACTCCTCCGCCCTTTCGGGTTTGTTGTAGGGGGCTGTTCCTCTAGAGCCCCACACTCCTCCTTCCCTCCCTGAGGCTGGGCCCAAGTCCCTCAAGCCAAATACCTCTCTCCATGTCCTCTTCCCCCACCCCTGCCAGCTGATTTCATTGGCCCTCACTTCCCTGTCAGTGCCCCCCCCCCTCACCCCGCCCTCCCCAGAGTGGGGCCAGGCCGGGCCAGCTCCTCTGGCAGCAGAGCAGGGGCAGGTGACAGGCTGGCCTCGCAGCTGAGGGAGTGAGGAGACGCCTGGGAATCGGAGCCGGAAACCTGGGAGAGTTTCCAGTCGGAGTCCAAGTAAGAGGGAGTTGGCCTGGCTCTGTTCTCTGGAGTTGGGGTCTGCAGGGAGGGCTCAGACAGCCTGGGGCTGGCTCCACAGGACTCCCAACTTGGAGGGGCTAATGGGGGAGATGGTGCAGTCTACCCAGTATTTCTTTATTGCTTGGAGTGGGCTCCAACCCTTATGACGAGTCTGATGTGGGGTGTGAAGGACAGAAACATGGCCTGGCGGGGATCCCCCTATACCTGCCTCATGTTCCTGGCAGGAGCCGGAACTACCCCTCAACCTGTCAGCCATGGGGGAGATGGAGCAGCTACGGCAGGAAGCGGAGCAGCTCAAGAAGCAGATCGCAGTAACTCCAGAACCTTCCCACTGGGGGCCCCAGAAAACTTGGAACTGGGGACATGAGGAAGTGTGGCCTGGGGGGCAAGGAGGCTGGAATTGCTCTTCAGGGACACCTTAGAGACCCCTGACCTGGAAGTGACCAGAAACTTTCTGAACTTGGATGTCATATTTGAGATGTCCCCACGCCCACCTACCTCAGAGGCCCATGAACCCCCTACCTCCCTTCCCTCTCCTGATATCTGCTTTTCCCCCAGGATGCCAGGAAAGCCTGTGCTGACATTACTCTGGCAGAGGTGAGACTCCTGTCCCCCCGGAGGCAGGGTCTGAGGGGAGGGGAGCTCCCTGACCAGCCCAAGCTTAAGTACAGCATGTCCTTGGAATGAGGAAATGACATTACTTATTTCAACAAACAGTGAGATGTTCTCTGGGCCAGGCACTATATTGGAGGCACCATATTGGCAGCTAAGGACAAGATGCTGTCCCTATCCTCGTCCATAAAACAAGAGTGATTACACCACCTCAACTCGCAGGGTGGTGAGGATAAAGAGAGGGATAGTACTTGGTAAATCGCAAAGCCCCATAGACTCCACAGTTACTACTTATCTAATGCTGTACTTCATTAATTCTGAGATGAACATTTTTTCACATTTTGACATTTCTGAAATCAAGATGCATCCAACACTAGATGATGCCTTATAATTAAAATTGGCAGCATTTTTCTGTTTTGGTGATACATAAAAGAATGGTGCTTCTTCAAGTTGGTGGCACCTTAGATGGGGTTAAGTATCCTAATAATAAGAGTAAGCATTTCCTAACACCATGAGCCAGACACTGGGCTAAGTTGCTTAAATACATAATTCCATTTAATTTTAATGACCATCCTTTAAGGTAGGTGCTATAAACATTTTATAGATGAGGAAACAGGTTCAGAGAGTAATTTGTAACTTGCCCAATATAACAGAGCAGGGGAATGGCAAGTGAAATCTATTGGTCTTGGAGCTTCAGCCTAAGTCTAGAAGCTGGATAGAGTTTAAGGGGCATAGGACCACAAATTTCAGGAGATCAAGGTCATGGTGATGCCCTAGGTACCAAGTTAAAGAGTTGGCCATGCTGCAGTGGTGTGTGTGGGCAGGCTCCTGGGGGGGGGGGGTGGAACGGTCGAATGTGTGCATCTCTTCCCAAGATCATGTTCAGTGACTTTATACTGGCATCTTGAAATTGGTTAAGGTGGGAGAATTACAGGATAGAAATCACCCTCCCACCTCCCTCCACCCTCCCCCACCCTCCACTGGAGAGGTGGTTGTTAAACATTTAATAACTTGTCACTGGCCATGTGTGTGGCTGTCTCCCACATCAACCTAAGTCACTCCAGGGAAGGGACTTATGTCTCTAAAACTGGGGCCTTGGAGCCTGGCACGGAACAGAAACTTGTACAGATCGGTGGCTGGGACACTTCTGACATCTGGGCATGTACCCTGCTCACCTGGTTTCTGATGCCCTGTCTTGGCAGCTGGTGTCTGGCCTAGAGGTCGTGGGACGAGTCCAGATGCGGACGCGGCGGACATTAAGGGGACACCTGGCCAAGATCTATGCCATGCACTGGGCCACTGATTCCAAGTGAGGCTTGAGAGGTGCCCAGAGGGGAGGGGGAGGCAGGGGGGAGAGGCTTGGGTGACATGGCGTGCCCTCTCCCCAGGCTGCTGGTAAGTGCCTCGCAAGACGGGAAGCTGATTGTGTGGGACACCTACACCACCAATAAGGTACCAGCCCTGTCTCCCGCCCCTCCATCACCCTGTCCTTCCTTGGGGGCTTTATGCCCATCTACCTCTGCCCTCCCCACTTGGGAGCTCAGCCCAGTCCTTCCTCTGCCCACCCTGCCCTCCTGCAGGTGCATGCCATTCCGCTGCGCTCCTCCTGGGTTATGACTTGTGCCTATGCCCCGTCAGGGAACTTTGTGGCATGTGGGGGGCTGGACAACATGTGTTCCATCTACAGCCTCAAATCCCGTGAGGGCAATGTCAAGGTCAGCAGGGAGCTCTCTGCTCACACAGGTGAGTGAGAGGCCTGCTCTTCCCATTCTGTTCTGAGGGACCCAGGGAAGCCCCTGGCCTGGCCGGTTATGCCTCTGCAACCAGGGCACTGTCCTAATCACCCCCAGGTTATCTCTCCTGCTGCCGCTTCCTGGATGATAACAACATTGTGACCAGCTCAGGGGACACCACGTGGTGAGTGCTGGGTGCTGGGCTCCAGAGGCAGTTCTGTCCTGGCCTTTCTGTGTGACAGCCTCTCCTTATCCGGCAGTGCTCTGTGGGATATTGAGACCGGGCAGCAGAAGACTGTGTTTGTGGGACACACGGGGGACTGCATGAGCCTGGCTGTGTCTCCTGACTTCCAACTCTTCATTTCGGGGGCCTGTGATGCCAGCGCCAAGCTCTGGGATGTGCGGGAGGGGACCTGCCGGCAGACTTTCACTGGCCATGAGTCGGACATCAACGCTATCTGTGTGAGCCCCCTCTGTGCTCCAACTCCGGGGACCACCTCACCACCCCCCAACACACACATCCTTCACCCTCACCCCAGAGCTCCCTACCCGTTTCTTTTTAACTTTCCACTTTGAAATAATTTCACCTAACAGAAAGGTTGTGAGAGTAACAAAAAGCTCCCATCTACCCTTTACCAATCCACCGTTAACATTTTATCACATTTGCTTTAGCATTCTTTCTCTGCAGAGGGAGGGATGGAGGGATGGATAGATGGATGGAGGGATGGATAGATAGATAAAGACATACATCTTGATGTAGATATATAGATACATTTTGTTGATATTTTTTCCCTTGGGTCTTTTGAGAGTAAGTTGTAGACATCATGACGCTTTACCCCTTAAATGCTTTAGTGTATATTTCCTAAAAACAAGGCCATTCTCTTACATAGCTACAGTGTAATTATTAAAATCAGGAAACTTAACATTGACACAGTACTATAGTCTACAGTCTATATTCACATCTCACCAGTTATCTCAAAAATGTCCTTAATAGCAGTGGTGTTTTTTTTTGGTTTTTTTTTTTTTCTGCCAGGAACATGTATTGCATTTTCTTGACACATCTTAGTTTTCTTTAAATTGGAGCTGTTTTTCTACGATTCTTTGTCTTCATGACATTGACATTTTTGAAGAGTACAAACCAGTTTTCTGTAGGCTTTCTATTTGAGTCGACCTGACATTTCCTCATGATGAGATTCAGGTTATGCATTTGTACTTGGCCCTGCTCCTACACACTGTGATCCAGCCAACTGTATTTGGAAGAGTCTGGGACAACCTCCACCCTTCTGGCCACGTGACCCTGGGCAAGCTGCCTGCCCTCTCTCAGCCTTGTGGGAATAATGCCTGCCTGTAGCACTGTCATGAGGAGCAAGTGAAGGGTGTAGGGGAGCCACCGGCGTGCAGCTGACGCGTGATAAATGTCAGCCATGAAAAGTGATGCTGCGGCCGTTTCTCACTGCAGGCCAGGGAAGCGACAGGCAGGGAGGCTGAGCGAAGCAGCCTGCCCTGGAGCTACCGGGGCAAGAGCCAGGGAGAGGGCAGGTGAGGCAGCAGCTGCCCAGGTCTGAGTCCTGACCCTCTGGCCACCTGTGCCCTCAGTTCTTCCCCAACGGAGAGGCCATCTGCACTGGCTCAGACGACGCCTCCTGCCGTCTGTTTGACCTACGGGCAGACCAGGAGCTGACTGCCTACTCCCATGAGAGCATCATCTGTGGCATCACATCTGTGGCCTTCTCTCTCAGCGGCCGCCTGCTCTTCGCAGGCTATGACGACTTCAACTGCAATGTCTGGGACTCCATGAAGGGCGAGCGTGTGGGTAAGGGCCAGCTCCCCCTGTACTGCCACCTCAACTGGAAGGCCCCTCCCACCAGCTCCCCTTGTTGGGATCCTCTTATTGCCATTCCCTAATTACTAGATAACTCTGAGCTCGACCCCTGGAATCCAGTCCCTCTTGGTTCTCAGTGTAGTACCCTCTCCTCTCAAAGAAAAGTTGCTTTAAGGGGTCCTTCTCTACCACCCACTGCCATAGCTGCTCCCTGCCAAAGGAGCTCCTTCAAGTTATCTCCAGATCTGAGGACCTTGAATGTGCAGTCAGGTCTGGGTTTCAGGGGCATCTGCTGAAGGAAAGGGCAGGCTCAGGATACTATGCAATGAGCAGAATCAAGATCTAAAGTTACCTGAGGCCCTGACTCCAGCCTAGGGGCTTATCTAGGACCAGCCTGCTCTAAAGTTGAATCAGATAGCGTGGCTTCTTCTCTTGGGAGAGGCCAGGTGCTGAATGAAATTAACACCGGCTAGAGTCAGGATCCAAATTCTAATTTTGGGGCTTACTTTCTGAGCGCCCTTGTGCAAGTCACTTCTCTCTGGGCCTCAGCTTCTTCATTCGGAAGCAAAGGAACAGTATGAAAGGGTTTCCATCCACATTTTCCAGCGCTCAGCAAGGTGCCCCCTGCTTTTCTCATCGCACACTGACATTTCCAACCTTTCCCTCCCTCCTCACCTCAGCTGTTGACAGAGAGATTGGCCTCCAGAGAAACACCATTGCTTAGGGCTAATCCTCTTTTAGTCTCCACCAGGGGCTGAAGAGTTGAGCCCAGCCTACCTGACCTAGGATTCCTGCGCATGCACACACCCTCTCTGCCAAATCAGCACAGGGAGACAGGCTGATTCCTCTCCCTTTTCCTCAGGCGTCCTCTCTGGCCACGACAACAGGGTCAGCTGCCTGGGGGTCACGGCTGATGGGATGGCGGTGGCCACTGGTTCCTGGGACAGCTTCCTCAAAATCTGGAACTGAGGAGGCCATGAAGACACTCAGCTGCCTCCTCCCCTGCCCAATTTCTTTAAGATTCCTTTAAGGCTTTCTCCTCCATACCCCAGCTGCCATTCCCACCAAGCTTTCTCCTTTGAGGACAGTGGGAAACATAGGGGTTGTGCCTTTGGGAGGCAGCATCAGGGACACAGGGGCAGAGAACTGCCCTATCGCCTCCCATGGCCTCCCCTCTCCATAGTCCTGACAGCTTCTCCCATAACGAGGAGGACAGCTGACCCCTCCCCAGCCCTTGGCAGGCCCAGCAGTCTTCTAGTGTGAGGCCCTAGGCCCTAGGATTCCTCCCCTGGAGCTACAACCTTTGTCCAGACTTAGAGTGGCACCGGGTGCTCAGCCCCTTGACCATGGCTCTGACACCACCAGTGTCCTGGCCCCCTTGTCCTTCATGCTTTCTCCTTTTTCTACCTTCTTTTTCTCTCCTAAAGCACCTGCAATAAAGTAAAACTCTATTATATCTGTGAAGTTTGGCTTCCACCTTACTTCTGTTCTAAAAGGATTCATTTCCCTCTTAAGTAATAAAGTATTATAGGTGCAGTGATAAAGGTTGGTTACCAGACAGCTTGTGGGCAGAAAGTAGAGTCCCCAAGCCTTGTGGGGAAGGCCTGAGCTGGGTCAGGAGAGAAGGTATTTACCACGTGGCTGGGAAGCACGTGCACAGCAGTTCACTAGAGCCTGCCTATGGTGCATACATGTGTGTTTGTACAGGAGGGTTATGTTGAGTAGGAAGCCGATTATAAAAGGCCTTGAATGCCAGGCTAGCGTCTAGAATTATTCCTAAGGGCAATGGGGAACAAGTAAAGAATTTTGAGCCGAGTAGTAATGTGGTCAGCTATGCTTCTCAGAAAGATGGTCCTAGCGGAAGTGCAGGTTGATGAAATGAAGGGAGGGGAGACAGGAGGGAATGGAGGGAAACAGGTAGGAGGCAGGTGGCAAGACTTGCAAGAGCAATAGGACAGAGGGGACAAGGGAAGGGATGGGGAAGAGATTAACGATATAGAATCACCAGGATTTAGTGACCAAGTGCTTAGGTATGGGAGATTAAGAGGAAAGGATTCAAAATGATGGCCAAAGTTTGGATTTGGGCAACCGGGTGGATAATGCTGTATTCACAGGGATAAAGAAGAAGGGATAAGAAAGCCTTTTGAGGGTAGATCACAAATTCAGCTTTAGACAAACTGACTTTGAAGTGCCTAAGGGGCAGCTGGATAAGTCAGGGTTAGATCGAGAAACCTGGAAGTTACCAGAATATAGGTAAGTAGTAGCTAATCCCCAGAAGTGAACACCTAGGAAGAGTGAGAGCAAAGGGCCAAGGACAGAGCCCTGGGGAACACCAGGATTTAAGGGAGGTGCGTATAAGAGGTTTGGAGATATTAGTGCAGGGCACTCAGGCCAGGAAACGTAAGCTCCCCAGGCTGCCTTTTATATACAGATGACTTAGTGCAAGTTTTAGGTATAACAACAACATCATTTAAAACCACTTCATTTAATATACAAGAAACATATAAGACACAAAGAAAGCCCAAGAAAGCTCTCAATTCCAGAGTCAGTAGTTTAGGGGGAGTCAAAGAAAATGACCCTTTCCAGTCTCTGAGGGAAAGAAGGTGTGAGAGGATATGGAATACCACTAGATCCCTGGTAAGCCCAGGGCTGGGGCCGCACACAGCCTAGTTCTCTACCAAGGCAAAGTGCTGATTTTCCTTGTCATGGTCCTGGCCTTGCTCCCATGCTCGTCCTCCAGTTCTCAGAAGTCGTCCAGTTACCAGAATGGCCCCATCCTTTAGTTCCCTAACATTTTCACTCAGGGGAGAAGGTCGCTTACCCTGCAAAAAACAGTGTGGAAGTTGGAGGGAGAGAGGTTGTTCAGGAGATGGAAGACCAGGTAAAAGGGCCTCCCGCACTCTACATTAGATTTCCTAGTAATAGCTTTCACCCTCTCTCCCTTTACCTGTCGTGGTGTCAGAGACCCGGGGGAGTTGTCATCTTGCAGGATGGTGAGGGGAGATCTCCCTAGTACCTTGCTGTTTGGTTTCCGTCTATTGCACTTAGAACCTAGGGTGGGTAAGGAGTTAAAGCAAAGAGCTAAAATCAGGGGCTTACAGTTTATTCCTCTTAAACTAACTATCTGTGGACATTATCCCAGAACATGATCTCAATTCTCTTCCGTATGTGTACCTTGCCCTTAGATTCTGTACCTGAAGATCGGGGTGTCTCGGGGTCTCTCAAGGGCTTGTCTGAGCCCTGGCTGGCCATAGGGGTTTCTGAGGGCTGTCCTGTTTCCTCCTCAGGAAACACCTGCTTGGAGGGGAGCTCAGTCTGACTCCAAGGTGGCATCTGGTCCTTGAGGGAAAACTCGGCGCCCAGAGGCAAGTCCAATTCAGAAGATGAAGGTGCCTCTAGGTGCAGAACAGGCTCTAGAGGAAGGTTCGATCTGGGGGCTTCAGTCTCAAGTAGTTCACTCAGCTGATTCACCAATGGGCTTGGGAGCTCTAGAGGGGAGAAGTGAAGTGAGACAAATCCTTCAGCAAGGACAAAAAGATACAGGAGCCTTAGGATTCACGCCCTGGTGGGTGAGGCATTGGGAAGAGGGAAATCATGGTGAGAGGGAACAAAATGTAAGGGAAAGAGTGAGATGTGCTTAAAGCAAGAGGGCTCCTTTAAGACGGAGCCCTGAAGAGCATGGCTTCACTGACCCCACCCAAGGATGCAAGCTGACAGCCTTATCAGAATTCCCTGGGCCCAACACTTACCTCCACTGCTGGTCTTCATAGGTGTCCGTGCAATGCCAAGGGTAGGAGAGCGGGGATCTGAGCCCTGGGCCTGACTGGGACCCTCCAGCTGCTCCCCTGCTGGTAGGTTTGGCTGTGGAGAGCTCTCCACCTGTCCAGATCAAAGGTTAGAAAAGCCTGGGCCCTGAATCTCCTTCCCTCCCAAGTCTCCAGCCTCTGGAGATGTTCCAGGCAGGAATTGCCAAGGCCTTCAGACATTCAGCCTACCCTTCCTGGTGGATTGAGAATGTGGAAAATAAAGCCTCAAAATGGGGGAGGGGGACAGAATGGAGGCTCTCTCAGAATCAGATTAGGCAGAGGCCCAAGAATTCAGACAGTTTCTCTGCCAGCTCCCCACCCGGCCCAGAGTACCTGGATGGGAGTGCGCAGGATGCCGGCACTAGGCGAACGCGGGTCTGCCACTCTTGCCAGATGCTTGTTGTGCGGCGGAGGCCGCGTTGGAGTGACTGGGACGCTCTTGGCTGAGCCCATCTCAACCAGGAGGGATAGGGTGGGGCAGGGCCCGGCCCGGGGCAAGGAGGGGATGCCTGTGAGAGGTTACTCAGATCTCGGTCCTCACCGCGGCTAAGTCCGACCTCTGACCACCCGATCTTCCCAGTTCCCAGCTGAGGAACCTCTTGGCCGCTGGGCCAGAGGCCTCTGCGGGAACGACTGGTGCAGCTTAGTCAGCTCATTCCAGGCCAGCCGGGCCCTCTAACTTATCACTTACCACTCTCCAACTCCACCTTTGGGTGCACAGCAGCTCGAGCTTCAACCACCGTAGCAGTTTCAAACTTCCCGCCACGCCCCCTGCCGTGACCCTATTGGCCGAGCCGACGCAAGCTCCTATAGGCCCGCTATTGAGACCCACCTCCAGTGAAGGAAGCCATTGGGCTGGGAGGACGTCTATCATGGGGAACACAGGGCCAATAGGCAGCGGCTTGGTTTGCCCCAGGGGTGACGCCTCCTCCATAAAGGGGGACTTTGTTCCGTATTGGGCTGAGAGTTGTGCATCATGAGATTTTGAGGAGTGCTAGTCTTCGCTTTTGAGACCTTCAGTTTCAAAATCAACTGATTTTATTATTATTTTAAAAATAAATTACGCTACTACGTACAGATTCAGGCGGAGACGGAATTATGAAGATTTTTGAGGGAAACAGTAATCCTTACTGGTTGACGGCGTTATCAATCATTCGACTCTAACCCTCTCAAACTCCGCCTCATTGGGTAGCCCCTTTTCAAATACCAAGAATATAACTGCCCTTCTATTTTCGGATTGGACAAGTCCCCAGAAGTTTCTCAGATCAGTTTCCGCTCTTCAATAGAAGGCACGCGAAGGGTCTGTTGGGCTCCAGAGTGCGTGCCGCGAAAACTCCGTGGTCCACCTCGCTGCTCTACAGGCGCTCAATCCTGGGAGAGTGGGGATTGGTTCTTTAGACCATCGATTGCATTGGGAGCGCTTTTCATTGGCGTTAGTCAAGAGTAGGGCAGAAGGCGGAGCACTAGTAGGCAAGCTCCATCCAACTGCCATTCTCGCGCGTCTTCTCTGGAGCGCATGCACCTAACAAGTAGTGCTCATTGGACCGCAAGAGTAGGGGGTGGGGAACTAGGAACGGTGGGAGCCGCTGTGTGTGGAGGAGCTGCTGCCGGTGTCATGGCGGAGCTGAGTGAGGAGGCGCTGCTGTCAGTATTACCGACGATCCGGGTCCCTAAGGCTGGAGACCGGGTCCACAAAGACGAGTGCGCCTTCTCCTTCGACACGCCGGTAAGACCATTCCCCACGCCCGCAACGAGCACGACTTCCTTCCATCGCCCTGGTCATTCTGCCGGGGCCTGCAAAGCTGGGGCTACCGCCTCCTTGCGATGCACCATGGGACTTGTAGTCTCCCACGCTATTACCTGCCGCTGCTTTTAATTAGCTGGAGCTGTTGTGTGACTACCGCCCCCGGAAGACACCGCGGCCGCTTCCACCGCTCCCCGTCTGGTGGAGCATTATGGGGATTGTAGTCGTTCATTCCCCGCTGCTGTTCTAAGCCAGGGACTCAACCCGATCGTCGGACTACATCCCCCAAATGGACGCCTTCGGAAGCCTGGGAGTTGGCCTTGCCTGTCGCGCATGGCTTTCCGGGTTTTGTAGTCTCGTATAGGAGGGATGGGGCGACCCCCCACTGTTCTGGGCCGGGGTTGGGTGGGAGAGTGGGTAATGCAGCGCATAGGCGCCCAGTAGTCTGGAAGTGGCCACGAAGAAGGCCAGTTCTGAGAAAAGCCGAGTTACAGAGCCTCCACCCATGGTTAATATGGACAGGGGGCGGGGAGGTGGGTCATTGGTGGTAGGGAGGGGAGAAAAGAGGAAAGCTCTAGTCGTTTCTCCTTTAAGATGAACTGTGCCCGCGGCCCTCTCTCCTTTTCGTCCATCACAGAGAGCAAAGGGAACCCTTTTTAAAGTATTCCCAGAGAGATGGTTTCTTTCTTGGAGACTGCTAAGGCCCCTTTCCTATTCCGCTCCCACTCTTGACTAGTTAGACAAAGCCACCACCCACACCATGCTTCACGTTTTACAGGCTCCACCCGTTACCTCCCTTTCTGCAGTTCTGCCTTCCTGTGTCACCCTCAAGCAGAGACAAGCCTCCAGCCAGGCCAGAGCCTGAACTGAGAGGGCAACAGCCTGGTTGGGATCCGCCCCCTCACCACCCCTCCCCTCAAGCCGCTGCTGGGCCCTGCCCAGGGTGTTCGGCCAGACCAACTCATGGCCAGGAAAACTGCAAGTCAGAGTGGAAAGTCTTCATTAATGCATCGCCAGTGCTGAGTATAGCAGCATGATCTAAGGCCCCCGTTCAGGATCATCACTGATTTGTGGTTTGCTTGGTTTGCTAGGCTTTGAGCTGGGCCTCAGACAATATGCTGCTTCTCTGAAGCCTGGCTTTAGCAGAGCTAAAAGAGGACTGCTCTGAGCAGAGTTCCAGGGATCCAGTCCTTGTTGGTGAAACCAGGATCTTTTATTTCCAACAGAAGAGTTTAATCTCTGTAGAGTTTCCTTGTGCCTCCCAAGGTATCAGATACATGGCTTGGTGAAGCACCGTCTTTCTCAGGAGGAAAAGGGTTTTCTTAATTACCAACCAATGGTAGAAGTCAGTGGATTCCTCTTTACATTCCTGTCTCCTAGTAGCTGCTTTGAATAATCCAAAAGGATTTTTGTAATCTTATTACATTTTTCTTCTCTCACCCCAACTCAAGAAATCTCCAGTGCAGCTGAGTTGCGTTGCTAACCAACTTCCTGCATGTTTGATTATCTTCAAATTGCGTTCATGGTAGAAAGAGCGCTTATATGACCTCCTTGATGAGAAATGCTCCATTTGTTTATGAACATTTTAATCCACACTGTTCTAGGGAGTGGTATACAATCTGTGGGACCAGGAACTGCCTTAGATGGTACCCTACTTTTAATATCACAGCAAAGAATTTTTCAAGGCCACTGAGACTTATTCCAGGAAGAAGATGCCTGCACTTGCTCAGAACCTTGGATCTGAGGGAAGGCTCTGTTGTCTCCAATTTCCTCCTCCACCTTCTCCATCACTTATTCACAAAGGCACTGTTAGACTTGCTCAGTTTGGAGGAAGCCCATCCTCCCCCATCACCTGTGAATTAGGATAGACACTTGTGTTTCCCTGTTTTCTATCTGGCTTATGTGTGTTCTAGCTGTCTCAGAAAGTATTGTTAGATTGTCTTGAAAAGGGGATGGCTTTTTTTTTTTTTAAGATTTTATTGGGGAATTGAGGGAGGGGAACAGTATTGGGGAATTGGGGAAGGGGGCCAGCCAAGTTGTTGTTCTTTAATCTTCGTTGTGGAGGGCGCCAGTCACCATTTGGCTGCCCGTCGGCAGCTCGTGGCCTCTAAGCTCAAGGTGCTGGGTTCAATCTTAGTTGCAGGTGGGCGTAGCCACCATCCCATGCTGGAGTCCAACCATCAGCTTTGTTGTTAAGAGCACAAGCTCTAGGGCTGGCTGAGTGGTACGTTGGTTAAGAGTTGGCTTGGGATGCCAGCTCTGAGCATTAGGGCCCCGATTCGGGTCCCACATGAGGGCCAGTGATGCTGCGCCCTCCACAGCTAAGATGGTGAACAACAGCTCAACCTGGAGCTGGGCTGCTGTGAGTCGCCGGCAATGGCTAGGCTGCAGCCCCTGCTGCAGTGGGCTGCCATGAGCTACCATGAGTGGCTGGCAGCCGGCGTGAACTGCCGTGAGTGGCCATCCCAGTGGCTGGCAAGCGACTGCCTCACCCGAGAAGAGCGCAGTGATAATACCAACATGGGCGAGTGAAGCAACGTCCTCCACAACTAGACTGAAGAACAAAAGGACAGCAACTTGACTGTTCCCATTCCCCGATTCCCCAATGCTATTCCCTCCCCCAATTCCCCAATAAAATCCTAAAAAAAATGCACGCTCTATCCACTGAGCCATCCGGGTGGCAGCTCAGCTCAAGGTGCTGAGTTCAGCCTTAGTTGCGGGTGAGTGTAACCCACCATTGAACAGGCAATCTTCTTGATACACCAGCTGAGCCATCCTGCCACCTGTTGGCAGCTCAGCAACAGCTCAGCTCGGGCTCAGCGTCACTGGCCCATGTGGGAATCAAACCAGCGGCCCTGTTGCTCAGAGCTAGCACTCTTAAGCCAACTGAGCCACTCAGCAAGCCCAGAAAGGGAATGGCTTTGAAGTTGGGGGTTGATGGGACTTCAGTGGGGATTTAGTTATTGGTCAGAGGGGAGACAACAGGGTGGTGGCTGGAGAATGCCGGACTTCATGTCCCTGCCAGACTGGGTTGAAGTTTAGCTGTGAGCTATACGCAAAGCATTGTTCCTCTGGACCCAGGCTTCAGTAGGGGAAGAGGGAGAAGACTCATGTCGAGCAGGGTTTGAGTACCTAATGGAGTGTGGTAAAGGAAAGGTCTGGGCTTGCTGGCAAGCTCTGGGGTGAGATGTACTGTTCAGGTGCTAGAATCTCTGCTTCTCCAGTCTGGTAGGTTTTCTGAATCCTTGAGATTAGGTAGGATTTGTCATGGTATCTGACATGCAGGTCTTTCCTCTCTGAGGAAGGGACCCTTATCCCCTCTGAGTATAATCTCTGGCATTGTAAGTCCACGGTTTGTGATCCCCATTTCCTTTCTGGATCTCTCGGCTCCAAAGAAGAGGTAGAGCAAGTTCTCTGCAGTTGATTGGAGGGCTCCAAAGCCCAAAGAAGGAGCAAGAAGGAAGTACGGTGAATGACGATAGGTGTCATTCAGCTCCTGGTGTCCTTGTTAGTTATTATCAAAGTCATAGGAGGATGGGGAGAATCTTAGCCATGTAGTGGGTCCTAAAAGGCTAAATGACTTGCCACGAGCTACACAGTGTTAGAGAACAGAACCTTTCTTCTGGAAACCAGGTCTGAGTCTCCTCGCTTGGCCAGGCTTCATCCTTCCTGTGTTTCCTTCCCTGCCTTCTGTCCTGCAGGAGTCTGAGGGTGGCCTCTACATCTGCATGAACACATTCCTGGGCTTTGGGAAGCAGTATGTGGAGAGACATTTCAACAAGACAGGCCAGCGAGTATACCTGCACCTCCGACGGACCCGACGCCCGGTAGGGACAGGGGCTGGGGCAAGGCCTGGGGACATTCAGGCACATGCCACTCAGCCCTCATTTTGAATGTGTGTTCCGTTCTGACCTTCTACAGGCCTCAGTTTCCCCCTCTCACCTATTTCTGTTGGTGTTATTAAAAGTCAGCACACGTGTTTTTTAGCTCCATTCTCTCCTGCGATTAACCTACTCCATCCCATCCGTCCTCG